GAAATGTGGTTTTGTTACAGATTATGCAAGATTTTGTGCATATCAATAAATGCACAACAGTACGAAACTCAAACGATTTATTACTTTCATTATTCCACTATATATTTATTGCCATAAATTATTAGTTTTTGTTGTTGACCATTTACCTTAAATCATTTACTGTTTGGCGATATTTACTTAGTGTCTATATTTTTAATGTAAAAGCATTTTATCCTAAAATTTATACTTTACTAAAAAGCCTTTTTTTAAAATTATTTTTAAATTGGTTTTTCTATTTTTTTTTTATTTTGTTGTTTTATTTGTTTCTGTTGCTGTTTTTCTTCTGCGATCAAAGCAAAATGAATGACCATCTTTTTTGTAGTTATTGTCCAGTTTTGGAAATGATATTTAGACGAGTGGAACAAATGATAGGTATGCCGCCGACTATTAAAATGCAATTTAATTATGGAAAAGTAAAGTTATGTGCTGATAAATATATTGGTCTTAATCTAAAAAAAAAACAAAAAAAAACAAAAACAAAAACAGTCATGAGCAGAATATCAAGAATAGCGAACATTCAATGAATTTCGACTGATTTAGGAAATGAAAGATAATTTGAGGTAATTTAATCAAAGAAATTGGGTCATGACATTTAATGAATTTTAAAGACAGCAGTAAAATCAACATCGTGCTCATCTTGAGAAAAGCTGTTTATTATAAATTACAGAGAAACAAACTTGTTTCCAGAAGAAAAAAAAAACGTTGTTTCTTTGAACATTTAATATCTTCAAGTAACTAACACATATTATGTCTCTTAGCAAATAATTATCAATTTAGGCACTCAATGCCACAGCGCTAAGTCTGGCCACACCAAAAGTCTGCTAATATCTATGTACATGATCGTTTGCAGCACTGTGAATATCCTGCAACAAAGAGACTGTTCCTTCAAATGGCTTTCAAAAATTCTCATTATTTCGTTTTTGTTTTAAGTCAGTCAAAAAGTTTATAACGTATTTTGTAGATTTCCCAAAAAGCGGCAAAGGTCTTTCTTGCCTATTGACGACCATTGCCAGTTGAGACTTTAAAGAAAGAAAGAAGATAAAAAAAAGAATTATAGTTTTCCCAGATTTATCCTATTTTGTGTACTAAGAACATAACGTCAACTGTAATATTGTTGGTTGGTTCCATATAGAAAAGAAGAAAGAATGAAGCGACGAATCCGTTGTCTGTCGCGGACGGCAAATTGTTGTAAACAATATTTTCGTCATATATATATATATATATATATATATATATATATATAAATTCGTTATGTGTGTGTGTGTGTATGTACAGAATGCGGCAGAAATATCTCCCACATAATGGTAAGACGTTAGCCATTGCCACTAATGTCTTACCATTATGTAGGAGGTATTTCTGGGAGGTATATGGCCGCATCTTGTATATATATATATATGTGTGTGTGTGTGTTTTGCGTGTGTGTTTTATATATTTTCTGTTTATATGTTATTTTTATAGATATAACTTATTTAAATGCACTGTTTTTTTTTTTAATTAAACCGTATTAATTACATTTACCGGCGTAAATGACAGGAGTCGAACCTGTAACCCTTATGAGAACCGTCATTTAGCCTGACGTGGTGTTAACCATTCAGCGTCTGGTTATCAAATTCCGAATTACTGTTTATAAGCATACACCTTCGACGATTTTTCTCGATCGATCATATCTGCTCACGAAACGTATCTTAACGTAAACAATGACAACATATCAAGAAACGAATTAATTTTGACAATTATTTAATATATTTTCTGTTTATATTTTATTTTTATAGATATATTTTATTTATAAAGAGTAACTTGGAATTTGCTAACCAGATTGTTTGTGCACATTTTAACAATTATACGTAGCAATATTAATACATAACCGCTTTTATATAATATATGTGTGTGTGTGTGTGTATGTGTGTGTAAGTGTATGCGTGTGTGTATGCCTTCCGACACACGAGCAACTCTTAATATTCATTATGCATAAAGATGTATATACACAAATGCGCAATGACGATCCATTCATACGCGCTATTCAAAGCATCTTATGTTGAACCCACGAACTCGTTAGACAAGCTGAGTTTGTTTTTATTAAATATCACGCAATACATTATTTATATTATTCGGACTATTGACCTCATCTTTGTCGCCATATTTATCACAAGGTTTCGGCCGTTGTACGCTCCGGCCTTCTTCAGGTGATTGGAATGTCGAACTGAACCCTTTATTTCGCTCACTGGGGTAGATTGTTCTAGTTCCACATGCCATATTTGATGGATGTCAGCTATCAGCTATCTCCTATTAATTTCCCCTCTGAAAGTTCTCCACTGCCTTAACCGGGTATTGAACTCACTGGATCTAACCAACGCCTTTATCCACTGTGCCATGTTTCCTTGAGAACATCTGGGTATGAATTTCTGGGTATTATAAACCTAATGTCTTCAGCAACCATTTTTACCAGTGCTAATATTGCAATTTTGCTGTTATCATTGCATGTTTTTACCAGAGCTCATATTGCAACTTTGTTGTTATCATTGCTTTTCTCTGGCACTCCTTATTACTGGTTCCCATATTGTATTTATTTCTATGCTTGGTCGGCTCAGGAGATTTTTGTGGCCTAGCATATGTGCTGATTCCTTAAGTTTACGAATTTTCCAATGGTGTTCCTTGTCTATGATCTCAACATGATCCCTTCTCTCTCCATATGTGGTCAGCCACGCCTGATTTTTCTACTTCCCCTCGTGTTACAGCTTTCTGGTGTTCTTGAAGCCTTACCTTGAGGGGGCGGCCTGTCTCTCCTTTATATTCCTTTCCGCAGCTGCACGGGATAGCGTACACACAGTCTTTAGTCATGTTCTCCTCTATGGGAGGTCTTACTCGGAAGAGATATTTGCGAAGTGTCGTCAAGCTTTTGAAGGTTGTCCTGATGTTATATGGACCGCAGATCCTTTGTATTGGAAAATTCGTAAACTTAAGGAATCAGCACATATGCTAGGCCACAAAAATCTCCTAAGCCGACCAAGCATAGAAATAAATACAATATGGGAACCAGTAATAAGGAGTGCCAGAGAAAAGCAATGATAACAACAAAGTTGCAATATGAGCTCTGGTAAAACATGCAATGATAACAGCAAAATTGCAATATTAGCACTGGTAAAAATGGTTGCTGAAGACATTAGGTTTATAATACCGAGAGATTCATACCCAGGGACACATGGCACAGTGGATAAAGGCGTTGGTTAAATCCAGTGACAAGACCCAAAGAGTTTGAGTTCAATACCCGGTTAAGGCATTGGAGAACTTTCAGAGGGAAAATTAACAGGAGATAACTGATAACTGACATCTATCAAACATGGCACCCCAGTGAGCGAAATAAAGGGTTCAGTTCGACATTCCAACCACCTGAACAAGGCCGGAGCGTACAACGGCCGAAACGTTGTGATAAATATGGCGACAAAGATGAGGTCAATAGTCCGAATAATGTAAATAATGTACATAATACCTCATCTCAGAAATATAGACAGATCACGCAATACAATGAAAATAATGAGGACATATAATAATTGCCCGTTGAGTCCAAGATTAAAGTATTCAGAGAAGTATTTGAAATTTGTCAAGAAACTTGAGATATATAGTTTGCCATGAAATAGCAATGAATTAGCGATAGGCTTGCATCGTTTCGCTTGTGGAAAAGAAGTTTATAAGCTTCTGAGCACAAAATTGCCACATTCGATCATATAACAAAAACAAAAACAAAAAACAATAAAAACTGCTGATGTTAATAATTTAATTACTGGATAAAAGGTTTTGCCATGTACTTGTAAAATAAAAGATACTCATATAGTTTAAACATGTAATAATTTAGGCTATTAGCCAATCAAATTTCTAAGAGGAACGAAATCATTCGATCTAATCTTTTTCTGCTATCACGTCAATTTGTTGATTTCCTTTTTTATGACGAATAATCTGAAATCTTCGGTATTTTACTGATCTATTTTTGCATGAATCTATTTACTGATTTATATGATTATTTTAAAGTCTATAAGAGAGAAAGAATAAGAACCTACGTGTTAGAGTTATTGTCTCTGGTTCTCTTTTATGCACGCTATGGATGCTTGACGCAAATGTTTTGAAGGCATAATTAAGTTTCTGTTATTAAAGACTTAGAGAGAAGATGGTTGTAACTGCATAAAAGAGAACAGGATTAATATCAAGCATTTGTAATGTGCAATAGCCTCAGAGGTGTAAGAATAAAAACGCAGCTTTGTGGTTAGCACTATTGGGAGTGCCTGAAAAACATATCATAAGTTGATCCAAGATTTATGAGCGAAATGTTGCACGGAGTCGCAAGTAGAGGGGGTCGAGGGGGTAGAGGGGGTTCTTCAAAACTATTGATCAGGATAGATAATGCGCTCTCTCACAGAAACTGTAACAAAAGTTCGCTCAGCCGTTGGAACGTTCGTTGCAGTATAAACCACTGGTGGGTTCTGTTGATGTTGAAGAAACAGAGATGTAACCGAGCGAGCGTCTCCAGCAGAGATTAGCAGACGAGCATACTCGGAAACGAGCAGCTAAACAGTTATTTGTCTAAGAATTAACGCACGTGCATGTGTGTGTGCGCGTGCATATGAGATAGATGTTTAGTTTTAGTATTTTAGTTTGGCTTGAAGTCAGCTTCTTCAACAAACATCACAGGACTTTCCACCACTTGTTCATTGCCACAGCACAAAAGCTCAAATATCAAGTACAAGAGAACGTTAGACGTACGCTAACAGTGGTCGAGCAGTGTTCAAGTGTCGTGGTGGAGGTCGAGTGCATTTTAGAACTTTAATAGTGACGAGCAGACAGCAAGGAATGTGCTTTACGGTATACACGCCTCTTCACCCTTGTTTCTGTAATCAATGCTATCAGCAAAAGCAATTTTACCACGAAATCCATGGGGCCTCTTTCAGCAGAAAATAAAACCCAAACAGAACAAACCATAACCGATGAGAGAGAGAGAGAGAGAGAGAGAGAGAGAGAGTCGAGCTGCGAATTCAAACGACTGTGGAGTTATGACCCCAGTCTGCCTGTCCTCGCCTATCACAAGTGGTTTAAATGTCGTCTGCTCAAGTTTCGACATTTGACTGCCGTGTGGTATGATATGAATCTGTGTATGTACTACATTTTATAAGAAACGAGGGAATCACTTCTTTCTTTCTTTCTTTCTTTCTTTTTAACTCACTCCTCATTTAATTCACTCATTTTCTTTCTCTTTCACTTCACATTTTGCCCTTTCTTTTTCTCTTTTCCACGAACTTAATTACTCATTCACAACTTCACTTCTTTCTATCTTGCTGATTTTCCTTCTTTCATTCTCTGTATAGTTTTCTTATTCACTCCCACGATCTTTTGGACCTTTATTCACTCACACGTTCAAAACTCTCGCGAGTGTTTTTTTTTTAACTCTCTCACGCATTCATTCATAATCCCACTCTCTTTCAATCACATTCTAATCTAATGACCATTGTCGATCACTCACTCACATCTATGTTCATCCGATCTCAATCACTCTCACCCACTAAATGATTCACTGCTCTCAAACCTCTCAAATGATCTCTCGCAAACACAATCACTCACTCAACTCTATGTTAATCCAATCTCACTCACTCACTCACTCACTCACTCACACGGGAAGAACAAAAAAAAAAAAAAAAAAAAGAACAAAAAAAAGACAAAATTCTCCCTTGTCAGCTTGGCGACGAGGACTTCGAACTCACACACACACACGCACACAAAATTCTCTCTCGTCGACCACAGCAACTTGGCGACGAGGATATCAAACTCACACGGGAAGAACAAAAAAGACAAAATTCTCCCTCGTCAACTTGGCGACGAGGAAATTCGAACTCACACAGGAAGAGAACAAAGAAAAATTCTCCCTGGCCGACCACAACTTGGTGACGAGGAATTGGGACCTACACGGAAAGAAAAAAATTCTCTCTTCTCACCACAACAGCTTGGGCGACAAGAATTTGCACTTCTCGGAGACTCAAAAGAGAAAATTGCCGTTTTTGCCAGTATCCCCAACAACTGGGTAACAAAGAGTTAGGAGGATTAAAATACGGAAAATCGAGTTTTCGCAGTTACATGCCTGACGGAGCTTTTCAGCCCGAAAACGTCACTTTTTCACAAAAGGTGGAAATGTCTTAAGCTCGTAAAAGATAAAATTGCAACTAGATTCAGGGCAAGATCTGCGGATAATTAACCTACAAACATGGAGAAAGCTTAATAGACCAACCATGTTACACACAGAAAATTGCTAAGTCTGTTGCAGGAAAGCGTATAAAATTCGAAGGAGAAGTAATCCTAAATGTAAAATTTCACGGGAAAACAAGAAAACTCAAAATGTTCGTACTGAAAGATACAGAAAATCTGCTGGGCACAGACTGGATGTAAAAGTTCGACGTATGGGATTTACCTATCAGCTCTTTTTGTAAAAAGATAGAGTGTGAACCATCAGAAGCGACAAAGTTAAGGGAAGAATTACATAATCAATTCCCCGAGGTATTTTCGAGCAGGTTGGAACGATGCAACAAGTTTGCAGCCAGAACTGAATTAAAAGAAAACGTCCAACCAGTATTTAAAAAGAAGCGGAACGTGCCGTTTGCTACCATAGAGAAAATCGACAAAGAATTAGAGAGACTTGAACAAACTGGGATCCTTTCAAAAATTGAGTTCAGTAAATGTGCGGCACCAGTAGTCTATGTTAAAAAAAAATCCGGAGAAATCCGTGTTTGCGTAGATTTTTCGACTGGGCTAAATAAGGCTATAAAAGATCATCATTACCCATTACCAAGCCCAGTGAAAATATTTACCAAGCTTAACGGCGTTAAGGTATTTTCCAAAATAGATCTAAGCGAGGCCTATTTACAGATTCCAGTAGAAGAAGAGAGTACGAAAATTCTATGTATTATTACGCACAAAGGACTGTTCAAATTCAACAGATTACCATTTGGTGTAAAGGTAGCTCCGGCAATTTTTCAACAAACGATGGATACAATGCTCACTGGCCAGAACTTTGCCACCGCTTAAATGGATGACATTCTAATTAAAAGCGACAATGTTGAAGATCACGCATCGCACATAAAGGAAGTTTTTAAAAGACTTCAAGATTTTGGGTTTAAAGTAAAAGAAAAAAAATGTGACTTTTTCCTAAATGAAATGAAATACTTAGGCCATATAATTAATGAAAGTGGTAGGAAACCAGACCCAGAGAGGGCATCTGCAATTAAAAATATGCCTGAGCCAAAAAATGTCGCAGAGTTGCAAAGTTTCCTGGGTCTAGCAAACTACTACGCGGAATTCATAGAAAATATGCATAAATTGAGACCCCCCCCCACTAAATGAGTTACTGAAAAAAGAGAGCAAATGGAATTGGACGGAAGACTGTCAGAAAGCGTTTAAGGAAATAATACAAAAATTAACTTCGGAGCTAGCACTGACACATTTCGACCCCAAACTAGAAACTATTATTGCTAGCGACGCGAGCTCACACGGGGTAGGAGCTTGTATTCTACACAAGATGCGGCAAGGCACAAAGAAGCCTATAGCGCACGCATCGAGATCATTATTACCAGCAGAGAGGAATTATTCGCAAATTGAAAAGGAAGCGTTAGGCATAATATTCGCCATAACTCGCTTTCACAGATATATTTATGGAAGAGAGTTTACTCTACAAACGGATCATAAACCCCTTCTTACGATTTTTGGATCGAAAAAAGGATTACCAATATACACAGCCAACAGACTTCTAAAATGGGGAACTATTTTATTGAACTACAACTTCAAACTTTAGTTCCTACCATCGAAGAAAATTGGGCATGCTGATGGACTATCGCGATTGGTACCTACGAAAGGCGAAGCTCTGCGAGCCGAAGATGAAATCAGTAAAGTGTTACATCATACAGTAAAGGAACTACTTGTGACTTTGCTAGAGATAAGAAGAGAAGCGGAAAAGGATGAATTTATTCAGAATACCAAGAAAAAAATAGAAGAAAAGGAAAGGAGCTTAACGGACAGCTTTTCAATTTGTGGCCGCATATTATTTTATAACGAGAGTTTGGTAATACCGAAATCGTTACAAAGGCGGATCTTGAAGGACTTTCATTTAGGACATCCGGGAAAAAACCGGATGAAAGCATTAATGAGAAGTTTTGTTTACTGGCCAAATATGGACAATGATATTACGCAAATGGTGGAAAGTTGTAAAGGCTGTGCGGCTGCAGCACCACCGACTATACAAAAACCATGGCCTAAGGTGGACAGCCCATGGTCCAGAATTCTACGCAGGACCCATAGAAGGTTACTACTATCTAATAACGGTAGATAGCTTTAGTAAGTGGCCAGAAGTCTTCAGATTTAAAAACACGACAACGGAAAATACTATAAATTGTCTGCATAAATTATTCGCGAGATTCGGAATCGTGGACTGCTTAGTAACTGATAATGGCACACAATTCACCTCAAATGACTTCCAAGAATTCTGTGAGACTTACCAAGTAAAGCATATTAAGAGAGCTCCGTATCACCCGCGGTCGAACGGGCAAGGCGAAAGATTTGTAGACACACTAAAGAGAGCTTTGAAAAAAGCAGAGGACATATCGACAGAAAAAGCTATACAGCATTTCCTCCAAGTACACAGAATAACACCAAACGGGAACATACCATGTAGTCTTTCACCAGCAGAAGTGATGTTAGCCCGAAAAATATGGTCTGTGTTTGATAAGTTATTGCCTAACAATAATAAAAACCGGCATACACCTATAGTACTCAAGAGATCATTCAAACCTGGAGAACGGGTCTATTTTAGGATGTTATGGTTTATTGGGAACCGCGTAAAATAATTAACAGACTAAGAAACGTGATGTACACAATAGAAGGAGAGAAATTTACCCACAGAAGACATATTGACCAAATCCAAAAAATACGGGTTTGAAGAGCCAAGCTCGTCACCCGCTGAAAATGATGATTCGATGGAGGCGATCTTTGAAGCTTTTGAGATTCAAAGACCACAAGAAGATACAGAAATTAGAAGGACTAGCAGGAAAAGAAAATTTACAGAGCCTCTGATTATCGATCATAAAAGGAAAAGATATTAACTCTCCCTTCCAAAAGGGATCTAGGGAGGGGGTGTTGAGGGTGTTTCCCCTTTTTACACAAATGGACTCACCCAGTATATACATATACTACTGCTAAGTGAAGACCCGAGAGACGAGAGTAAGACGAGAGCCACAGAGGGTGAAGGTAACAGACAGACAGAACGAACGTAGCGATCAAGAGTCACAGTGAGCGAGCACGTAGACTTAGTAAGAAGTCATACAGCGATACTTCAATACCAAAGACTGTATACATATTTTGCTACTAACCCGTATTCCTGGAACTACTAACCTGCATTACCAGTTTGTATTATTACGTTAATACATTATTTTCCTATATTCATTTTTGGCGTTTGTTATTTATTGGTACCGGATTTCATCCCGGAATTCACAACAGTTAAAATAAAACTTTGTGCACTAAGATATACTGATGATCTTTTTCCGTTGATAGTATCGTCTTCAACCTCTGTTGTAACTGGCAGTGAGTATATCAGCGGTTGTGTTACTTGTGCGAGTGATTAACTAGAAAAACAATTGTTTATAATGACAGGCAATAGGACAGCATGCAGGAAGTATTGGATTCGTGCCTTTGTTCATAGATGTGACTTACAATTAAATCACGTCACGTAACGAGTCTCGTAACCCATTAGAATCATTGGTGTACCAGATGTATTGCAGCATATCAGCGATGGTGTGTATTACAGCCACATCAGCGATGATTCACACATGAAAATTATATTGCAATTGCTATTATTATATTAAAAGCCTTAAAAATCAAATGCTATACCTTTGTTCTAGGCAAAATAAATAAAACTGACATATTGTTCTTGATAAAATTCAATTAAAAAATTAAACAGTTTTAGTTAGTCATCAGGATAAGCATTTTTCCAGTCAGCCATCAGTTATATTTCAATGACTATTGTATAAAAATGAAATAAAAAATATATTTTAGGCGGTATCAGTCGTTTCTTGTCCTACAACGAGA